GAAACGATCCATCATATTCTTTTCCATCGGAATCATTTGCTCATTCTGTCGTCGTCACTATCGCCATCATCACTAGCAGCGTCTCTGTCTCCCCATCTCCTCGCGGTAAGCCATTCCCTCAATCACATCTTGCAATTTTCAAAAAAGGGGTTTTGATTTTGAATGGGTTTCTTGGGTTTTTGTTTTGCGAGATGATAGGGTTTCGATTTGTACTACAAATTTGATATGAATGTACCGGGAATTGATAACATTTGGAGTCAATTTTGAAATTAGGGTTTGAAGTAAAATTAATTTGGGGTTTTGATTTGTAATGNGTTTTGGGTTGCGANATGTTTTGNTTTGTACTAGTATTATGGTTTGAAAAGGAGATGTGTCGGGGTTTGATATGAATTAGTGTTGATTTCGAATGAGTTTTGATTTCGAAGGAGATGTCNGGTTNTGATTTTGATATATGTATCGGGTTTGAAATTAGAGTTTGAAGAAAAATCAATTTGGATTTTGGTTTCAATTGGAGATGTATGGACTTGTTTTTTTTTTCTCTGTACTAGGATTTTCGGATGTGTTTGCGGTTTTGATATGAATTGGGAGTAGATGTATATGGTTTGAAATTAGGTGTTTTGTGTGTGTTTTGATTTGCTTCTTGTGGATTTTGCAGAAATGACTCCTAAGACCAAGGGAGGAATGTCGAAGAAAGGGACTTTAAAGGATTCACTTCAAAGAAAGGGACTTCAAAGGGAATCACTTCAAAGACTTCTAGTAGTAGCTTCCAAAGATATACTGTGAGCGATTCAAGTAATGGATCAGAATCAGAATCTGAAAATGGTCCTACGCCATCACAGGAGATGGGTCAGAATCAGAATCTGGAAATGGGTCACAAGGTATGTAACTGCTTTTGGACAAGTGTAGTTCTGCGTAGGACTACTAGTACTACTAGGGAGAACTGTGAGTAGTTAGGATGACTGGTATTACTAAAGAGGACTGTGAGTATTTAAGATGACTGGTACTACTAGATTTAGTACTATGTATAACTGTGAGTATTCAGGACGACTGGTACTGCTAGCTTTTAGTACTTAGGATAACTGGTAGTACTAAAGTGCAATGGTTGGATTATGCTAGGATTTTGTTTGGATTACAGGAGAAAGAGGATTCAGAACCCCAACCGTCGGCACAGGAGACAGAGAATTCAGAACCCCAACCGTTGGCACCTCGAAAAT